AGAAGAAGAAGAAGAAGAAGAAGAAGAAGAAGAAGAAGAAGAAGAAGAACGGTCCTGCGAGGTCAGGCCAAGCTCATCAGAGTCCAGTGTCTGCTTCTTGTGTCGGCCAGCCACCCTCTTCGGGGAGCCCTTCTCCATTGTTATGCCCCCACAACAGTCCTCTGGAGCGATGCTGCCCCTACTCCAGGGGTAACATGAAGAAGAACAGCCCTCAACCATCCTCTCCGCCATGATTTTATCCCTTGCATTCATCAGAGACGGTGGTCAAGAACAAGAGGCCATGCAGAAGCTTCCACTTGGTCAGGCTGAGTCCCGAGGCACCCAGCCCGGTTCTGAGCGATGGGGGGCCAGACCTGGTCGCCTAAGTATTTCCCCCTCATCCCCACTGTGGAAAGCACCACATGGTAAAGCTTCCCCTTCAAGGCCTGTGCTTATTTGTAGAAACCATCGCCGAAGATGAGGATTTTCCTTGGGGACGGAGTCTGCGACAGGAAGGCGAGGGTGGGTGGGAAGCAGTCATGCTCTTGCATCACCCAGGTCTCTGAAGACCTCAACGCTGCCATTCGGTGCCTTCCCCCGAGCCAGGCAGCAGGGCTACTAATCACCAAAGCAATTAGAAATGGCAGTTTCAGGTTCATTACAGGAATTCCTCAGTCAACAATGCAATTATCCCAGCAATCCTTCAAGGAGAAAAAATACTACAACCATCTGAGTGGAGAAGATGACATGCAGGAGAGAGAAAGGAAGAAAAAGCTCTCTGCAGAAACCAGTCTGGAATTTGTGTCCCACCAGTGACTGGAGGGTTGCCTCAAGAAGCCAGCAATCCAGATGCCAGGGTCAAAGACCTGCCCTGTTATTTGGCCCAGACCTTGGAGGTGCTATCAAGGTCTCATGATGACTTCTCTTCCATAGTGTCTCCCAGTCCTTTCTCCAACTGAGCAGCAATTGCTATCTTGTGGTCTGAAGGGCACCCCTGGAAGTCAGGGGCCCACATGGGCACAAAAGTGAGCTTTCTGGGGTGTGTGCGCTCAGCACTGGAGTTCCAGCTGCTTAATGCTGAGTGTGAAGGATCAGCTTGATCGCAGCCAGCAGAACCTGCAGGTAAAAGAGTCCCAGGAGCATGAGAAGCCATCCATCTGGCCTCAGTCCAATTTGCTTGACACCTTGCCAGGAACATTGCTCAAATTCATTCTAGACTAGACTCCATTTGGCCAGGGTCTTGTGTGTCAAATGACATGGTCTTGCCAGGTTACTTGGGTTTCTTTTGGGCCTGTTACCCTACCTGTTAGGGTGCTCTCTCAGTTGTCCTTGACCACCTGTGGGTTACACCCTTGTCCATCCTGGCTTCTTTGGGCAGCTGGATGCAGGTAATAGTTCCCTGGATCCAGAAGACTGTGATTGTTTCTTTGCAAAAGGGATCAATGCCTACAGCCCTTAAGTTCTTCCCTTCTTTAGTTGGTCTTCTGTGGATCCAGAGGTATTCAATAACTACTGCCTGGTCTCTGACCTTCTCCTTATGGTGTATGGTGAAGGTTGTCAAGATGGTGGTTCAGGACCAACTACGGAGCACCCTAGAAGTGGATTCTCTTGACCCCAAATCAGTCAGGATTCAGGCTGAGCGTGGGACAGGGATGGCATTGATCACTCCGGTCAATTGCCTGTGCCAGGACCTCAACAGGAGCAGTGCACCTGTCCTGGTCCTTTTAGACCTTTCAGTGGTCTTCAGTACCATTGACCATGCTATCCTTCTGGCCTGGCTGCAAGGATTGGGGGCTGGAGGCTGTGTTTTGCAGTTGTTTCAGTTGGTGGTAGTCAGGGGGAAGAGGAACTGGCACTGTGGTCACTTCCTCGTGGGTCGGTTCTCCCACAAGAATCACCACAAAGGTTGGTTCTCTTCCCCTTGTTATTCAGCATCTACGTGAAGTTGTTGAGGGAGATCCTCTGGTGGTTTGGGATACAACATCATCACTATGTTGATGATACCCAAGTGTACATCAGAAGCCCGGGCTGGAGTCGTCGGCAACGTGCTTGGGGGCTGTGGGGGCTGGATGGGGGAGAGCAGGTTTGAGCGAGACCCTAGCAAGACCCCCTGCCTGGTCCCTGGAAGAGCAGGCCCATGATCTGGGGATCCTCCTGGACCCATGGCTCCTACTAGGTCAGCAGGTGGTGGGTGGTGGGTAGTAGCTGTGACCGGGACGGCCTTTGCCCAGCTTCAGCTGCCTACCAGTTGTGGACTTACTTGGGACAAGAGAGCCTGACTACAGGGGTTCATGCCTCCTCGCCGCCTGACAAGACCACTGCAACACACTCTACATGGGGCTGTCTTTAAAGACCACCCAGAAGCAGACTGACGTAGGTTCAAAATGCAGAGGCTCAGGCACTTACGGGAGCTGACTGTTGGGCACACATGTTTTCCAGCCTTGAACTGGCTTTCTATTTGCTTCCAGATACAAGTCAAAGTGTTGGCGTTAACCTACAACACTCTTTATGGCTTGGTGCCTAGTTATCTGTAGGACTGCCTCTCCCCACTAGAGTCAGTCCATCCACGTGAAAAGCAGCTGGTTGTCCCCAGTTTTCAGGAGGTCGGGGAGGACAAAGCCTAGAAGCACTGTTTTTCGGTGATGGAGCCAGCCCTCTGGAATGACCTGTTAGGTATTCCTCTGTTCCCGATATTACCTGCTTTCCGGAAAAAGCCAGAGTTGGAGCTTTTCTGCAGGGCTTTGGGGGCCTGATGTCATGCTCTATGTCTGGACTTCTGTTTCATGTCTTTTTAAAAACATTTTATTGTCTATTCTTCATTTGTGAGGCACCAAGATTCCTGTCATTGCGCCAGGAGGAAGGAAGGAAGGAAGGAAGGAAGGAAGGAAGGAAGGAAGGAAGGAAGGAGTGGGCAGAGAAGACCCACCAGCCTAGCATCCTTAAATTCTAACATTTAGATCAATTCTTCCCAACCTGCTCTCCAAATACGTTGGAATGTGGTTTGTTGGTTCTTGTTTGGTCATCCTGTCCCTGCTGACTCTTCATCATTTTGCCAGGACTGTCTGTCAGTACTTGCTTCTTTCAGCTCCTGCTTCTGTCATCAGTGATAGTACCTCACTGCCTTGTCTTCTGTTGGTGTTTTTTTCAATTCTTCTGAGCATCAGGGGCTTCTCCAGTGACTCTTCCCTTTGCATTATGTGTCCACAATATCTAAGCTTGCACATCATGAATGGTGCTTCTAGTGGGCAGTCTGGTTTTAATTCATCTAGTATTGGAATGATTTATTCTTCTTGGAGTCCAAAGTAGTCTCAACCATGTCCTCCAGCACCACAGTTCAAAGACATCCATTCTTCTTTGTTAAACCTTTCTGACATTCCAGCTTTCACTGCCATGTTACAACAGGGAGAATTATGGCCATGACAATACATACTTTTGAGACGTGCCAGCAGGCACAGAAATCATGGGATTTCTGTTCCATGGTGAGCATTCATTGGGGAAGGCTAATTTAAACTGGCATAAATCCGCAGTGCAAGGTCTTCATCAGATGGGAGACCCCTATTAGATATTCAAATGTGGAATTCTAATTCCACAAACCACTTGTGATTTTGCTGTTGTTGTTCTTGCCCAACTTTAGGGGCTCTTGGCTAAGAGGAAAGAAGTGTTGTGTTTCCTGGAGAAGGAAAACAGAAGCAACGGTGTTGTTGCAGCCCCTCTGTGCCACAGGTCAAATGCCCAAAAGGGGACCAAGAAGGGGGGATCTCTAACGTCAGGAGAAAGTTGGCAGGTGGAAGAAATGTTGGTTTGGAGAACTCATTGCTCTGGGACAACAGGACAGAGTTGGAAATAACCAAGAGCCACAAGAATCACGTAGATAAGAAACAAACTAGGCCTAGTCTTGTAGACCATATTCAGAGGGAGTCACCCACCAAAGCACAAAAGGGGGACATCGGTCTCCCCCTGTCTCGCAGGTTCCCAAGGAAGGAGGGAGGGGGGAAGCACCACCAGGTCAGTTTAGTGCATGTTTTTTGGGTGAAAGATTTTATTTGTTTATTTTCAGTTTTGCTTTTAAAGAGTCCCAAAATTGGACTGCCGCCATGATGCACCCAACACACTGAACCAGGCCAATGGCCTGAGCAGGAAAACCTGGTTGGTTTTGACCTGGAAGGGCAGCGTTGGCCCACAGGAGCTGGTTAAGCTCTCCTCCTGGCCAGCTAGGTTGTGCAAACCCCAAAGCACTGTGAACAGTGTCTCATCTGTACCTGGTCTGTCCTCCAAAACGAAGAGATGGAGAGGCAGAGCAGGGATCTATTAACGAACTCACGGCCATGTCCTGGCAGCAGAGAATGTGCCTCTAGAGACTCTGTGGCTGCACTGCCCAGGTCTTGCCCACTGCAAGGGCTCAAGGGATAGGAACGCTTCCTGGCAGGACTCCATCTTTCCCCAGAATGGCAGCCCTTGACCCATTGAGTGGGACGGTGGCTGTAATGCCCACACTCAGAGATACACCTGGGCCATCGGCTGAGTAGAGCACATCATTCATATTCAGCCCTGAGATTGCATGATATATTAATCTGGCCATGGAAGCATAACTTGTCTTGCGAGATAACCAAGTTAATTGACTCAGCTCATTAGCCCAGAGGGGGATAGATTTAGTCTCAGATTCTTGCTTAAGCTGATTCCCCAGTGTTGTGTCAACTACTTGCCAGAATGCTGGCTGTCACTTCTGACATCTGTGACTGAAAAAAAGTGCTCCAGTTTTGTGGCCATGTGGGTTCCCCACTGCATCCACTCAGAGAAAGGGGAAAGGGGGGCAGAAAATTATGGAGGGGGTGTTGCCCAGGGTCAGTGGTACTAACCCTCATCAAGCCACTATTTTAGAGTGAAAAAAATTCACGTTGCTTCTGGCAAAAGAAAAAAGGCAGGTGGGAAGACTCAGGCATGGCCACCACATGCCTTCTAAAGGAATCCTGGATAGGGATGTGGCATTCACACAGCCCCTTGGGGCCAAATAAAAGGCTTTCCAAGAAAGCTCTCAACCAGGGTGGGTGCAATGCACTTCAGGTGTTTTGCAGTAGATCAGCAAGAGTTGACATCTCAGTTGGCTGAGTTCATATTATGAGCCAGAGCAGGCAAAACGGGGTTGGGGTTATGGCTTAGCATTGGTGGGAACCCAGTCATGGCTTCTGTAAGCCCTCTTCTGTTTTATTTATTTAGGCACAACATGTTATGGGGATCATGCTTCATTAAATAGAATTTAGTCTTTTGTGTGTTGTGCAATCCCATCCAACCGTGTGACAACAGGAGGACATTCCCGTCTAAACTGGACATTGAAACAGCAAAGCTCTGGAGAGGGGGAGCCAGAAATGGACTCTTGTGCAGAAGGTTATGCTGAAATGAAATCCTAGGTTTGTGGGGAATACCTGAGAGCAAGAGTTTCCCAGGGCAAGGAGGACGATCAGCAACTGGCACCGAGCACCAACACGGGAACAGCAAAGCAAGGGGCCTGTCAAGCTGTGGGAAAGGCAAGGAAATATGTGCCAGGATGGGCAGAAAGGGCTGCATCTCTTGGTGATTGCTTTAAGTGCCTTCATCTTCATCTGCACTCAAGATCCATATAGCCAGGTTTGTTTGTGTGAACCCAGAAAATAGATTAATTCAGTAACAAGGTCAAATACATTGTATGAGTGCAGCCTGTGTACAGCAGTTGTGAAAAAGGCAGATTGAGGGCAAATCCACACAGCCTTTTGCCCTGGCACAAGGATGCCCCAACACCCCTTCGCCATGCCCTTGCCTGTGTCTCAAGGAGAACCAGAGACTGAAGCAGCTTGAAGGTGGGTTCAGGTACTCGTGGAATGTCATCCATCTCATTGCAGCTGGAGTCGCTCCAGAAAGCCAACATGAGCACGTTGATGCGTGGTGGGGAGGTGCCTTGCCATGACACGCTCTGCATGAGCAATCTGGCGCCTCTGCCACTGTGGCCCACAGCCTGGACCAGCCCTTCCCTCTGCTCCCTGATCTGCTCATTCTTGTTCCGCTTGCATGGAAGGCCAGACCACTGTGTAATTCTTTTTTTGTTGTTAAAAAAACACAAAACAGTATTTTGGACAAGCAGTTGACTGAGCCTCCAGGCTCTCATTCCAGAAACTGCTTCTGCTCATCAAGTCTTCCTTTAGGGCTCTGCCTGGACCCATGCTTAAACCAAAGCCTGGTTGCATGGAGCTGTGCGTGCAGCCAACCTTGCTTCCAGATGTATCAACCCAGCAACCCCTGTGCAGTGTCCACAGAGGCATTGTGCTGCCAAAGTTTGCCTTAGGATTGCACAGGTCCTGTCACTGGTTCATTTGGAGCATTGACAGGTTAACCACTTGACTCTATGGAGAGAGCCTGTTCAAAGAATCATCCCCAGATTGACAAATCAGCCAACATGCTGGTTGGCGAGGGCCTCACCCAAGACGGTGGACATCAGCCAGGGTCAGAAGCCAGCCACCGGTCATGGCCTTTGCTCTCACACCTGCTGCAGGGGTGCAGTCAGTGGCACCGAGCACACTCACACCAGGGGAGGGCCTAGCGCACACCACGGGGGCACTGAGAGAGGCAGGACCGATGGGCTTCCTGCCAGCTCCAGCAGAGGAAACAGCTGGGCTCTCCAGCAACGTGAATTCAGCCAGGATGCCAGGCACTGCGAAGGAAGGAAGGGATTGAGAACAAAGCAGCCGCTGCCGGGATGCCTCGAAACGAGTGAGTCGGATGGGCGCACTTGCCGCACCATTGCTCTTGACAGAGGATTCTGAATTAGACTAATATCTTCTTGTTTCACAGAGGATATTGTCAAATCAGGGAAGGTGCAGAGAAAGGTGAGCCAAACGTTCAAGGGGCAGGATGGAAAGATTTGGGACCAATGAACA